TCACCCACTGACATTTCTGATTGGGTTAATTCGAATAAATATAAACCTAGTACTGGTTCATGTTTATATGTTAATCATCTTCTACCTTTATTGATTCAATAGTTATTCGATACTATTGAATCAATAAAGATAGAAGATGATTAACATATAAATGTTGTGAATGAAATTGGCATTTGCCTGAAGTTGGAACTTCAGGTACCTGAAGTTGACACCTGCCTAAAATAGCTGGTGCTAATTTCAGTCAGATACTACTTCAGGCAGCTGCAACTTCAGTCAACAGGTGCAAACATCAAAATTACACAAATTGCAAATCACTTCCAAAATTCTCCAGCCAATTAAAGTTTGATATCACATAGTGATTAGCTAATCATAGATAATAAAAAATTTTTTGTACATTTTTTAAATTTTTGAGAAGCTTGCACAACCTATTTTTATAATGAAATATGAAATATGCTAAGCAATCTTTAAAGTTTTTATATCAAATTTTGATAATATTAGTTGTATCCCTTTGAATCTCACAACTAGTGATTGTATCATCCTAAAAAGTACAACCCAGGTACAAAGATTATCCATCAAACCCAGGTCAATCATCGATTTTGAAAAACTAATATAAACCTAATCCAGAATTATTTTTAGTAAGGATCATTGAGGTTGTAGAGTAGCAGTACCAAATATAGATGCAGACTTCTGACATCACCTAGTTACGTTCTATATAAAAAATCGGGTAATAAATAAAATGCAATTAAGCCATAATTAGTGATGTAAATAAGTCTACATCTATAGTACCAAAGCAATGTGACTACACCTAAAAAAAATCTCCCAAATGATTTTTCGTCTGTTCAGGTTAAGTTATTATTTTGGCATAATAAATTCAAGTACTAACCTTTATATTAATTAATGCAGTAGCACATGATTATTGACCTGCATTACAAAAATTTTACCAGCATTATTAAACTTTGTGTGCCAGCTCTATAAAAGTTCTGGACAATATTATTTACATAACAAAAAAATTATATATCAGAAATTTACATACAAATTTCCATCCTATATCCCTATATCCATATATATAAAAGACATATGCATTATATTTGATACAATTCTACGATAATTTTATATTACTAAAGTTTCGTTTACATACTTGCCCAACATGTTTAGTGCTGTAGTGTGTTTAGCTTGTGCGAAAACATATATATTCAAATTACAATATAATTTATATGTATAATGTAACATAAATTGTAATTTATCGTTATGAATCGATTATGCCGAAATCAATAACTTAACCAGATCGGTCAAAAAACTATTCAACAAATTTTTATCAGATGTTTCAGAAATCATGAAAACAAAGTGGGTTGGCTCACGGATAAACCCACAGGTTGGTTCACGGGTAGACCCGCGGATTAAACCTCGAACTCTACCCGGGTAAACCCGCGGGTCTACCCGTCCAGCTTACCCGGGTAGACACAATCACAACCCGGATACCCGACCCACTGGGTATACCCGGGTTAACCCAACCCGGGTTCAATCACTGCTCACAACTCTTATATTACGTTTCACCCAGCAAAGTTATACAAGAAATACAAGAAAATAGGTGTTGTATGAACGTTATACTACTAGATTGTCAAGCTTAAGCTCGCTGAGTGATAAAAAGTTGAAGGTAACAAATATATTGTGATATTGGCATATCCCTTTTTATAACATTTAGCATCAACTTTTAAAATATTTTATTATAAATAAATTTATGTATAGGTAATTGTTTTTTTACTCATTTATAAATCTTTTAGATTGCAAGAAACGTGTCTTATATAGTTGAGATTTGAGCTGGGTATATTTTCTAGAATGTAAATATATACGTATATATATACTAGTAAAATAATTGTCGAATTATAAATGAGATTTTTGGGTTTAAAATTAGATGTAGTTTGAATATAGAAGCGAAATAGATTTTTTTATAATTAATAATTAATAGTTATAATTAATAGTTTATTAGATAATTGAATATATAAAGACACATATTTCTATCTTGTAGTAATATTTAAGAAGGTATTTTTGTAATGTTTAAGGTATTTTATTCTAAAGTTAAAAATTCAACTTTCGTTCGATTTCGCATTAAAACTATTCTTAAAATTCGTAATTTTGATTGGGTGGGAGGATCTCGGAAGTGATTTGCAATTTGTGTAACCTTGACGTTCGCACCTGTTACTTCAGTCACGACATGAACATGACCCTTATTTTTGTCCGAATTAATCCGATCGGAAATGTCAGCGAGTGATTTTTAAGGCAAAAACCAAATTAATATGGGTCTTTGCCTTGAAACTCACCTTCCGACATTTCCGATCGGTTAATTCGGACAAAAATAAGGTTCATGCTCATATGTTAATCATCTTTTACTTTATTGTTTCAATAGTTATTCAATAAACTATTTTATTCAATGCTTAACTATGGTCAGTCTATAAAATAAATCAATTATTTTATGGTATTTTACGTGATAAAAGTATTGATCGTATTTCATAAACTGAGATAGTAAATCATTGAATAAAACCGTTATTGCATGTTCCCGTATGCATCAACTGCTGTATTTTATGGGCGATGATGATTGGTTGGTAACCCAGCCGGTACGGCTGGGTTACCGAACGATCAGAAGAGAACATAAAATACAGCAGTTATTGCATACTTCGCATGCAATAACTATATAGAATCAATAAAGTTAAAAGATGATTAACATATGAACATGAACCCTATTTTTGTCCGAATTAACCCCATATGACTATTTTTATACATTACAATAATGGTGTAACACACTAATTAAACATTGGTGCATTGACCAAACCTTAATTTTCGATTTTTATTTGCTGTTTCGGACTAAAATTGCATTAACGTGCATTCACATCTGCTTGAACAAATGAATCCTCGCTACGCTTCAGCAATTATTATTATAATCGAACTTCTTTTCTCGATTGTAATTAATTAATTTAATCTATATCTGAAACAGGGTTATTTCTAGTGATGTGCTCATGCGCGTGGAAATTTCAGAATATTTCAGAATATTTTGGAATCTCAATTTTGGCCGCATTTACAGCAAGCTACCATTATGGAGGCCAGAATTCCATGCGCATGAAATTTGAAAAAAGATTAATTGGCCCATCACTAGTTATTTCTAGGAGGTGTAGATATATTTGAATTAATTTAGCCTAAAGAATAGACTAATTTGAAAATTAATAACTAATTATAATTTGCCCATCACTAGTTATTTCTAGGAGGTGTAAATATATTTGATAATTTAGCATAAAAAATAGACTAATTTGAAAATTAATAACTAATTATTAATTTATCAACTGAATATTAATTAGCTATTCCCAAAAGAACCGGTTTTTAATAAATCTGATTTTCCTTTGCTCATACTAGGTAAGCGTTATTCGGTCTGTACAACATGTACATAATACCAGTTAACACTAAAAAAAGGGGTCCGCTAAAACTAGATAAATTTAATTATATTGATTTGCATACTGCATAAATTATATTTTGGTCTACCCGCTTTAATCAAATCTAAAACGTCTGCAATCAGGTTAGCACTGTATCTCATGATCTTTCATTTTAATTGTGTTTTCACATATAATAAAGATAATAATTATGTTCTGTGTCTATCATGAATTTTGTCGATTATCAATATTCACAGATTGAAAAATGTGAGATGGCTATATAAATTAGCTACCCCAGTAAGACCATGAAAGATCGACAATATGCACCAATCAGATCTGCACTAATTAAACAATCGGATTTTTAAAGTAATAAAATCTACATTAGGGTTGGAGTTGTGACTGAAATTAGGACTTATACTAAACTTTTACGATGAATTTTTTTGTTAGTGCACAGGTGTTCATAGAAAGTCGATTGTTAGAAAAGATCTGGGTAACTGTATAAATTCAACCGCAAGTAATCGATCAATCAGAAAAAAGTATCGTTCCTAGGCCCTGGCGTTGTTTTGTTTCGGGATTAGTTCCAATGTACCAATCATGGACGTGGTAATCTTGCTATTTAAAGTTCTAACATTCTCACCAATTGAGGTCTCAGTTATATGATCTTCTGATCTCATAATCACCCTTTGTCGAGCTTTTAAGATCTTTACTTTTAACTCTCGTTTTATTTCACTAAATATCGTTGCTATTTGACGTCCTGAGTCATCTTGCCAAAATGGTTAAAACAAAAAAAAACATAATGTCATAGCCTTTGATGTTTTATTGAATTATGAAGAAGAATCGATTTCTCCGTATATTTCAGTATTTTTGCTAAACCCTTACAGTCAGTGTTGTCATGTCCCATGATCCAATGATTTTGTATCATTTCCCATAATTTAAGTTAATAACTTTCGATACAAATTAAATATATTATTTTATATCAACGATATAAGCTTCTTCTGACTCTGCAAATACATTACCAAAATAGAAATCTGATTTTGACCAATAATTAACGATAATTTTTTGTTCACTCCTTATTTGGAAGGCATTAATTAAATTAGGATTAGAACTGATTTTAGGTTAAATTAGAGATGCATAATGACCAAATTGGTTACATTCCAGATATTCTTCACTAGTCCAAAAAGAAAAACTTCCGCTTTACTTTTGTCTTTTTTGCTTTACAGTTTCGTAAAAAAAAATTTTCATTAATAATTTCCTATTATTATCATGAAATAATTAAAAGTTTTATATTTATTATTCATGTAGAAGTCATTGGTGTACTATTCCATATTAAGTCTTTTTTTGTTTCAAATTTTATTAATTTTTCTGTGCAAAGAAATCGTATTATCAATGTTTTTTAATTAATACAATCATAGAATTTTACGAATCCTATATTACTATTATTGGATTGGTAAAATTCTATGATCGAAAGCAGCAATAATAAAATTTTTTATTTAAAGGCCGAAAAAATGGTATACAGTTCTTCAGCCTAAGTGCATAACTCACAAAATGGCAGGAATAAATTCTTTGATCTTTGTAATGTTTATTATGAATCTTTTATACGCATTTGCACAATTTAACAATACTACACCTTATCAACTTTCACAAAACGGTCAATGTGGTGTTGGTTATGATACTTCATGTAATAATTTCGACTGCTGTTCAATAAAGGGTTTTTGTGGTGGGGTGTCAGGTATTTAAATTAATTATTTGATTATTTGATTTGATCTATTATTTAATTTGGTTTAAATATCAGATATTAAATAAATTATTTTTATATAATAGCATATTGTGGTGATGGATGTCAATATGGTTATGGTCACTGCGGTATCATTCGTGATGGTTTAAATATTATTGAAACATGCAAAAAAGAAAGAACTTTGGCAATAACTTATGATGATGGACCACGTACGGTAAATTAAATTTTAAATTATATTTTCATACATTCCTATACATTTCAATAAACTTTAAAAAAAAATTTTTTTATATCGCAGTGGACTCTTAGCATACTCGGTGAATTAAAAAAACATAACATAAAAGCCACTTTCTTTGTCAACGGTCATGGTGAACCTGATTTTTGCATATACGATCATGCTGAAATCCTACGTGAAATATACAAAGAAGGACATCAAATCGGTACCCACACATGGTCACATAGTCATCTGGCCCAGAAGACGCCTAAAGAAGTCACATACCAAATGAAAAAGTTAGAAGAAGCTTTCATAAGAATTCTTGGTGTAGTCCCAAAATATTTCAGACCCCCGTACGGTGAAGGTCTTAATTACAAGGCATTAAGAAAATATTTGAAAAGGCATGAATCTAAAAATGTTGCAATGTGGGATGTTGATTCTAATGATTGGGTGGGTAATCTAACAAATGCAAAAACACTTTTTTTAAATGGAATCCAAGATAAAAAGTCGCACATAGTACTAATGCATGATAGGCTTCCTAGCACTGCTCATGAGTTAACACCATTTGTTGTTCATCATGCGAAACAATTGGGGTATTCATTTGATACTGTAGGTGGATGTGAAGGTAAAAATGATCCAACTGATTGGTACAGATATGTTGGGATACCTGAAGAAAGAAATTATGAAACTTGGAAGTGTACTCTAGGTGATATGCATAATAGTTCTACTGCTTAATATAGTATGAATCTAAGAGTTTAAATATATAATATAAATATGGATTTTAGATTAAATTAGAATTTTACATTGAAATGATAAATATATCTTTTATTATTAGATTAGAATTTTACATTGAAATATTGGATATTAAATAAAGTTGTTATCAGATCGACTCAGATTTAATTATTAATTAACAATTTATACTATTGTTACTACAAATTTTTGTCTTGCTTAACGAACAATGTTAATTATATTAATTTACATTTTTTATAGTTATGCACTATAATTATGATGGATTAAATCGATCAATTATAGCTGTCGTACATCGGAACGGAATTTAGAATCCACTTAGGTTGGAATAACAGGAGCGACCGTCCCATCAATTTGAAGATCGGTTACACAATTGATAAAAAATTTTTTTATACGTTTTACAATA